CGTTCTGAGCATGTCCTGTGAAAAGAAACCATCCCCTGACTTTATAGGCCTGGCTTGTTCTTACCTACATTTGTGACCAACCGTTCAACAGGCCTGCTTCTGAGTGATTGAGTCACATCTGTCCTCTAGCGGATGTGAGGCGCGTCTGAGTCTGGGTTACCGAGTCTGGGTCCCAGGCCGGCCACCTGATTTGGTAAGCAGTCTGTTGGCACACACCACTCATTTAGGTACCACTGTCTGCGGCCGCTTCTGAACTGCGGGGCAGACTTGAGTAGTTTCAATAGACTTTATGGCCTGCAAAGCCTGAAATATTTACTAGCTGGCCCTTTACCAAGGAAGTCTGCCAACCTCCAATCTAAGTTTATACCTTGTGTTTATATATTTCCACCAAACCACTCAATTTGTAAAAACTTGGATGGCTTAGTCCTCAAAAATTATTTTTCTTGGTGCTTTTACACCTAGGTAGTTGGGGTTTCCTGAGCTTTGTTCACCTGCCTGTCGATTGTTTGTGTGCCTCTGGCAGTGGCAAAACTGGCACTCAAACGTCTTGCCAGAGTGATGGTGTTAAGATCGCTCATGAGGACGGTAGAATTTAAGGCCCGCAGGATTGCAGGCCTCCTTTGGGGGGTCCTCTTTTCCCTCATCTTTCCCCATCCCCAGCGCCGCAGTGACCACCCTCCTGCCTGTCATGCTTGTGTTGGAAACACACATCTGTTTGTCAGGGGACAGTTGGAGGTCGTCGTGAGTTCTGAATTTGCTCACGTGCGATTCTCAGCCCTGAGATGCCCCAGGTGAGCAGAGAGAGCTGCAAAATGGAGAGTGTCTTGCGCATACCTCGGGCCCAGGCCTGACTCTCACGGGCCCACACTGAGTGTTAAGATTTCCCCCCGATTTCAGAGGGAAAGTGCTACCACTCACAGTACTCAGCCAGCTTCCACCTTCCGATGCCCACCTACAACTGCCGGCCTTCTCATGGCAAAGGACCAGGTGCTGCTGTACCAGCTATGCATTACTTCGCCAGGTAGCGTGTGCAGCGTGCTCTGTGCTCACTGCCTACTAGCAGGCTCCACGAGTTTGCGCCCCGACCTCTCATCACCAGAGACCCCATGGGTTCCGTCGCCCTGCCTCACACAGTGTAGTGGTGTCCCGAAGTTCTGTGTTGCAGCACAGCAGAATGGACCGTCTCGCATGGGCGCCCATCTGCAGCAGATTGCCACGTGGGTCCAGAAGCTTCTGCAGTTACCAGTGTGTGTTCTGGGCAGTCGCTGCTGTGGTATCATCCAGCCGCAGGCTCTGGGTTTTTCTTTTGCACAAGAAGTTTTCAATAGAGCTGGAGACGCTGTGTCTGCCTGGCCTGGGAGAGAATCACTCCCTGTCACCTGAATTTGTGTGTTTCTGGGCATGCCACTCCCATGAGAGGCTCTGCTTGCAGCTGCGAAGCGAGGCAGACTCCCCTGGGAACAGCAGTCTCGGGTGGGGGTGCCAATAGCTGACAGTCTGTGAGGACATGAGCCCCCGAACTCCTTGCAGGTCACCTGAAACAAACGCTCTCAAGACAAAAGACCCACGGGACCCTAGTTACGAGAACAAGAAATAGGTTGTGAGAAGCTGTGGCTTGGCTGCACAGACCCCTCCCCAGGTGAGGGGCTTCCCAGCAGGGGCCTTTGCTGAGAGGAACAGGTGCTTTCTTCCCTAAAGAGTGTGAAGAGGAAAGTATAAACTTGGGGGTAAATAAACGTGGGGTTGGCCATGTTTATTGCTGCTTTATTTACAATAGGAAAGACATGGAGTCGACCCAAATGCCCAAAAACAGATGACTAGATTAAAAAAAGACGTGGTAAATATGTCCACTGTGGAATATTACTCAGCAATCAAAAAAGATAAATTCATGTC